AAATAAAACAAAATGAAGATTGTTTTTTTGATGAAGAGTCGCAAAAAAGATCAATTTCAAATCAATTCTCTTATCATAATTATTGATGTCGATATTTCACAACCAAGTATCGATTTAATTTTCTTGTTCCACATCATGGTTCATATTTAATTTGTTTCTATAACTTCATTCACCAACTACATATGTAATATTTATCGTTATGTTTATTGTTGTATAGATTGTTTCTATATCAAAAATAGTTTCTATTCAATAATCATGACAATACAAAGTTGGAAACTTCTGTAGCATAGTTTTGTTATGAATGTTTTTTTTGTTGATGAAGCTGCATAATTTTGTTATTGAAAACAGAAGGTAAATAAAGACGAATGATTATTGCTTTTTTTTCTCGTTCGTTTGTCAAAGAAAATAATCAAAGAAATGCATAATTATGTTAACATACGCATATATTCATGTCAGGATGGATGGGTGTAGGTGTGGGTGTGGGTGTTCTTTTTATTCTACACCCCTACTCCCACCCCTCCCTCATCCACGCCCACATCCATACCCACATCCACACGCACACCCACACCCACCCCACACTTTCTTTCAATGATAGTAACGACATAAATCACCCATATAATTAAACATACGTAATTTTTCTTTCATGTCATTGAAAATAGGACAAATTCGCTGTATAAATACAAATGAATGTTTCACTTTTAGTCATATATAGATTTGGCTTCTATTCTCAGCTATAATTTCATCATCCAGTAAGGGTGTGGGTGTGGGTCCCATCAAGAAGAACACCCACACCCTCCTTATTTTCTCGACACTATCATATATCTATTATTTGTAAATCCAATGAGATAAAATTCAACGGAGTAAACTGCTGATATAAATCTTGGATTTTTAAAAATAAAGTTCTCTTCAAATATGTATTTTGTTGAAACCATACACTTCTTACATTTTAGTGCTGTCCGAATTAAGATAAATACTTCCTTATTCAAATGCACTAATTTGATCAGAGTTAGGATACACTATTAAAAAATTACAGAACAAACAGATCCATATATCTATTTATGAGCACGATCAGGTAGACTTTTAGCGCTGATGTTCATCAATAAACACTTTCATACAATTTTCTACATAGTTAATCAACTTTCAAGCGGTATTTCTCTGTTTGAAAAACTAATAATTCTATCAAAAAACGTTTTATTATTAAATCTTAGAACTTTACATGGTTACTCATGCATCCAAAAGAATTCTAATATTGCATTTATACACACATTTTGAGGCTTTATGAGCTAGGAAAGTATATGTAAACATGAATTGATCTCATCAACCGAAAAAAGCATCTAATTTTGTATCAAAAGTAGATATGAAGATTTATTATTTGACATCGATTTTTCATACTGCAGTCGTAATTCAACCTTGTTTTACAGAACCAACTCCATCAAACCAGACCATAAATGACTACTCGATGCATAAAACGAACGTCTATGGTCCAGTTCAAATTATTTGTTTATTCATCATAGTACGATCGAGTATCGCCATTTTTTTTCAACTGTCAAATATTCCCTTTTTATGATCGATCATTAGATACTTAAAGTGAATTAGTTTGACTATGGGTCTGAAAATTGGATTCATTAGCGATCATCGTTTATTTTTGTATGTCATCACACAGAAGTTTTTTTCACAAAGATCACCGATGAATGTCGGCAGTAGCGAATAATGTCGCTCTTGCCGTGATTTTCTCCAAAATGATAACTTTTGATTGATTTCTTTGAAAGCTATGGACATCGTGAGAATTACGAAAAAAAGGCATCGTTTTTCAAGTTTCTTTGCATTAAAAATATGAATTATACAAAATATTGTACAAAAACAAGTCATGAGTGCAGTCTCAAAGATTCAATAATCTCTAGTAAATTGATTAATTAAAATCGATTTTTCGTGATGTGCTATATAACTGTCATAGATAGACTTAGTCACTAGAGAGTAGGGCACTCTTTTTTGATGCTCCATGCTTGCAGACTTCCTTGTCCAATAAAGCCACTTCATGCAGCGCATAAAGTTCTACCAGTGAATAAGCTATGAGTACAAATGGTGTTGATATAAAGTGGAATGCATTGCGAAGAATAAAAATACATTGATTAATTTTGATCAATCGCGTAACGAACGCATCAATAAGAAAAGCAATTAAAAAAGTCAGCATTTGCAAAGCTAAGAAACCATACATGACATAAGTGATCGATAATGGAACATGTTTGACAAGTAGAATCATGGATAACATGGATGTTAAACCGAACAAACCAGCTGTACACAGAAGAATTCCATAATAAATGATCAAGGCAAAGTCTCAAGAAAACGCTGCCATTTTTGGCATATGTATCGATTTGATAATAAAATAATGAAAGACTTCTGCAGCTCCGATAGTCCAACGACGTGCTTGTCTTGCCCATTCGATAATTTCATATTCAACTGTTTCGTCTGATGTTGGTCCACTAATGACTGGTACAGGAATCATCGAGATTCGAAGACGTTGCTGTGTTTCACCCATCCATCGAATAAGACAAATGATATCGTCCATTTGATAACGTGGGTGAATAAAATCGCCTTTTTTTGCTAGACTAAATGAATAAGAGAAAATACTCATTGTATTGATGTTGAATAGAATGAGAGCACCAAGCATTAATAAACTTCGTAACAATCCAGTGATACGCATTATGAATGATAGACTGTCCAATTTCCAGTTATAAAACAAAGGCGATTGATAGATCGTGGTTAATGCCGGTTGATTCTCTTGTAAATATTTCCAAGTTAATGCTGCAATATAATCTGGCGGAAATTTTGAATCAGCATCACATGTTGTCACAAGAATATTTTTCATATCATCATCAGCAACATTAATTTGATTAACAGCTGTTCGAAGACCATAATTCGAATTCGAGCATTTACCTGGAATTTCACCTGGCAAGCCATATGGATGAATAGTACATATGATTCGTTCAAATCCTGCATCTTTGAATCTATTCTGTAAGTATTCACATTTCTTTTCCTTGTCAGGTGTTTTCTCGTCAAAGGAGATCACCATGATTATTCGATTCACTTCAGTCTGATCGGCTACTGATTGAACGATTGTTTCAATCAATGCGATTGGTTCCTTGTAACAACTGACGGCAACAATATGACGAATGCGTGTTTTCTCGAGAGCAGCAATCATTTCATTATACTTACAGGAGTAATTCATTCGCAAAATGAAGACATTTTTCACGGCTAATATTGTAATGACTAGAAAAACCAAAGGTACTTAAAATAATTTCGAAGTTTCAATGCATTTTCGAATGATCATACCTGTCCATGTGAAAACAAGAACACCTTGAATTGATAGTAGCATATATAAAGCGACTTTATTCGAAATAAACGGAATCCAAAACGGAAATGAAACAATAAGCCCTACAAGAAGACTGAATAAAAGATTTCAACGTAGTCGCTGACTACCACCTTTCATTTCGTGGTGGGTTGTACCAGTTTCAATAATTGTATGTGAAGATGAGATTTCAATGATATTATCTTTATCTTGATTAATTTTCTCATTTCGATCACTAGATAAGAGTCGAGTGAATATAGGCCATTGTAGGATTTCACCGACGATTCGAGTTTGTTATTCTGATCGATCAATTTTTCGTTCAATTTCTGTTGATATTTGACGAAGAAACTTCTTCTGCAGAATTTTCGAAGATGATATAGTGTCTTTTCCTGTATCGTTATCGACGGAACCATAGTACTGATATGATTCGGTCAGAAAGCGAACAAGAGTTCATGAGTTACGCTCCATAATTAAGTAGGGAATTTTAGTATTTTCAATTCACAAAACTTCCTTTACATATATATAGATTCAGTTGTATGTGTCTACCTGAATTTCTCAATTCGCATTCGTGTGAATGCCATTAGTCACTTCCCTAATCCATCATGCGCGTCAAACTATATACTGTTGTAATGAGTGGCTTATATGAAAGACGTCATTTCGCTTGGGAAGTGACTAACTGCATTCATGTGAATGCAATTAGTCACTTCCCTAATCCATCATGTGCGTCAAACTATATACTATTGTAATGAGTGACTTATATGAAAGACAAAATTTCTCCTGGGAAGTGACCTATTTTGACTCATATCCTGATTAGTGTCTTCCTCTTCCTATTTGTGAGAAGGTAGGCGAGGGCGTCTCCATTAATTAGCACATCTACATACGAGGTATGTTCAGATTTCCAAAATAGGAAATGATCCACATTTCTGAAATTTCCATCAGCTCGGTAACTATATAGCAGTGCAAATCAAAAGTTTTTAGACATATTGGGAATTTCAGAAATTTTAGCAATTTCCGTAATTCCACAAATTTCTGTAAGTACATAATTGCGAAAATTTCAGAAATTTCGGAAATTACATCATTTTAGGAAGTGATGTAAAATTCAGAACACAAATATTTGAAATCTCCGAAATTTCTGGAATATCCTTTCTAGGAAGTCTGAACACTGCTGCCACATACATATATATATACACATATATATCAAGATGTGAATGTATGTATATCGATTATTTCAAAGCATTCATTAAGTAGGTCAGTGTATTCAATGAATATTGATATTATTTGATCATGAATGGTCCATCTTTATTTTATTAGTAGTTACAGATCCAGAGAGATACAGTGAGACCAGATGTACGTATTTTAAATTGATTTCGAATCTTTTCCTTCGGAGTTTAGCATTTTTCTTCAGTCTACATGCTATCTCGCTCTAATAAAATTTAGAACCTGCCTCAGTTTATTAAATGGTTAGCAAAAGGTCTTTTGTATCTTTTGGAAATTCTTCTTGATTGTATACCATTTTTAAAACTTGTTTAGATCATTTCTAGATCACTATCTTTGATAATGTTCATTCCTTTTCTTACTCTACTGATCGTTATAATCGATCATGTGTGTTCAAATTCAATAGTTATTGCTCGAAAAAATTCGAGTAACTCAATTCCAACACTTCCATTTCCAAACTCGTTAGTAAAACACAAAATTCGTGGCAATCAAACCAATCAAACTTTTGTTCTGTTCGAAGGTGAATATTTGAATGAAGGTCCCGGATATCATATTCATACGAAAGATGATGAACTATTCCATGTTCTGGATGGCAAAGTGCAATTTATAGTGAATGGTACACAATTCTGCGCTTCGACTGGGGATTATGTCTATGTTCCGCGAAATGTATCACAAGGTATTCGCGTATATAATCCTAACAACATTGAAAAACGAGTCAAAATCCAAATCATGCTATTTCCATCAGGACTGGACAATTTTCTCGATGAAATAGCTCTCTTATTTGAACATGATCAACACAATATCACAGCCATCGAAATGATTTCTAAAAAATATGGCATCATCGGTTTGGGACCAGTTCAATGGGAAGATCTCGGTTGTTTTGCTGATATTTCCGTTAAATCCCTTGACAATAATTCTACCTAATTAATGACAGATGTTTCTGTTCTTATATTTCTGATTTTGTTAAAATATATTACTGAATAAATTTTCTTGTATTCATATGTTTACATACTATATGTATTGACTTTCAGCTAATCTGAATCATTTTTTTTATCAATAATTTCATTGACTTTTTGTGTACACAATAAATTTCTGTTTTTTTTCTCTCAAAGATCTCAAAAACTCATGCAAAAATAATCAGAGTGTGGATGGCAACAAGGGTGCAATATGTATCCAGTATCTCAACCAAGGGAGAAACAACTAAGACTTCTGTTTTGAAGTCCAATGAACCTCTGACGTCTTTCTGAAGTTTTGCGAAGTCTCGTTAAGTCTCATTAAGTCACCTGAAGTCTCTTGAAGTCTCATGAAGTCTTATGAAGTCCCATAAAGTCCCATGAAGTCTCATGAAGCCTCCCGGAAGTTTTGACGCACCTTTAGCGCTTGGAAAATTCATAAGAGAACCAATGAAACAGTCTGGCTTTTTCGGATCTTATTTCAGCAAAAATGTGAGGTTTTATTGTTTTTGTCAATCTACTCGAAAATTTCGAACTTATTTGGACTGAAGGCCCCTCAAAAAAAGTCACTTTTCGTCAGAATGGTAGAAATTATGACAAACGCACATAGTAAGATAGCTCGCTATCCGATCTTCCATAAACGACAAAAATTTTTATTCGGTACCTTGTTTTTTCTAAAAAGTTTTGAAGATTTCTGTCATCCCCTATTCGAGAAATAAGCTGTTTTCAGAAAAAACAGAACGTCTTTTTCGTTTTTTCTCCATGTATAGTTTCTTAATCACTGAAACCAGAGTGTGTGTGGGTGGGTGTGGGGTGTGAGTGTCGGTGTGGGTGTGAATATGGGTGTGTGGTGTGGGTGTGGGTATGAGGGTGTGGGTGCGGGTGTGGATGGGTGTGTGTGTGGGTGGTGAATGTGGATGTGAAACTTGTTTTCATCATGTATACCTATACCCACACCCACACCCATAACTGATGAATCAGATGGTATTGCTCTCGCTACTGTTCAACAGTTTGTTTCTGAAGGTGCTTATGTATTTATTACTGGATGACGTCAAGAAGCACTCGATGCAGTAGTCAAACAAATTGGTGGCAAACATGTTACTGCTATTCAAGCTGATTCAGCTAAATTAGATGATATTGATAATATGATCAACATAATTCAAAAAGTAAAAGGAAAATTAAATATTTTAGTGGCGAATGTCGGTATATTTGGTTTAAGACCATGAGGATGAACTACAGAAAAATCTTTCGATGATCAGTTTAATGTTAACGTTCGAAGTGTACTTTTTACTGTTCAAAAAGCTTTACCAATTTTCGTCGATAATGGTTCAATTATTCTTACTGAATCTAATATGTCAATCAAAGTTCTCCAGCATCAAGCATTTATAATATCACAATAGCTGCTATTCGTTCATTTACACGTTGTTAGATTGCTGATTTAAAAGATCATAAAGTTGGTGTCAATTGTCTTAGTCCAGATCTAACTGATACTCCTATGTTAAGAAGTATCGGTGATACAAAGGAAAGTTCAGAAAAAATACTTAACTCAATGGCAGAAAGTTCTTTTATGGGTTGACTTGGTTATCCATCCGACATTGCAAAAACAGCTGTATTTCTTGCATCAGATGATCGTTCATATATCATTGGTATTGAACTTTTTTGCTGATGATGGTTTATCACAAATATAAAGCTATTAATCGATAGTAAACATGAATTTCTCAAAAAAACTGACAAACTAATTTAATATAGTAGTACTGGTTTTTTTTTTATTCACAATATATATAATTCTCTTTTATAATGAAACAAGCTTTTATTAATTATAAAATTTTTGTTAATTTTTAATTTTTTTAAATATTAGATCAGTTGAATATGACTTTTTTTGGATGAAAATGTATTTGGATTAGGAAAAATATAGATCACTTAATATTAATTTTCAATCAAATCAGAACTCGAACAATCGTGTGCATTGAACATAATGGAAGTCTTCAGGAAGGTGTTATATTCGTTCAGCGAAGAGCCAAATGATGAAAGCTTTTGAGTGAGTGAGTGGCGAACAGCAAAAAGAAATTACATGAGAGGACTTTGAACCATAAGATGAAATAGTGAAAAACAACTTAGCGAAAAATGATGGGTCACATTTGATGAGAATGACAAACAAAACATTCTAATTGTCACATATTAATCACAACTAACCAAGAGAAAGTCTATTAGTCTATTCTTTGAAGTCGATCTCTTTTTCTTGTCGATCTTTGTCAACAATCAATGAAAGAGACGAATCATGACTTTGAAATGACAAAATGTTTCATGAAGTGCTCGCATGATCTTTCATCGAACGAGTCTGAAATAGAAAAGTGAACGAGGAATAGTACATGAGCACCGTCATCAACAGTTGTGACATGGTTCTCTGGGAAATATCTGGATTGATTTCTCGAAGCAAGGATGAGTGTGTATCGAGAGCAGTCACACTCATCCACACTCTTGAATCCATGCTGTATTAGTTACGTATAAAATAAAAATAAATCTACAACGAACATTTCAGTTGTTGTTCAACAACCTGGACTTAGCTTCCATCCTTTAATATTGAAGTAATCATTGATTTTTGGGTGTGGATGTGGGTGTGTGGGTGAATATGTTGGTGTGCGTGAAGGGAAGACTTACACCCACATCCACACCCAAACCCACACACCCATGTGCTGACAAACTTCAAGTACTCGTTGTAAAAGTTTTACGACAGAGCTTATGAAAACAGAAAATCCTTTAAGGGTTTATTATACTTTATATTTGCATTTGCATCAATTCGTCAAAAGGATTCATCATTTGGACATTATCATTCTAAAAACTTGAAAATTCTTTTCGTACACTCTAAAAAGAAAGTGAGGATGAAGATACTTACTCCAAACATCATCTGAAGAAGGAAGAAAATTACTCTTTGTAATTTTGTCTATAGGTATCTATTCAATTATCTATCTATCTTCACATCAACTCCCTCGAAAAATTGTTTTTCGTGCAGACATCACAATCAAAATTACATCGTTGGAAAGAGCGTAAAAACTAAACAAGAATCTGTATTTATTTTGGAGGTGTATGCCTAAATCTCCAGCAAAAATAGCTAACATCTTTTGTTTTGTCTATATCTCTCTCTGAACGATTGTTTTCTTTTCTTTCGTCTTTTTTTTTACTTCATCTGCATATGTTCAAATAGGCTTCTCCATATATCATATGTACAACTGATGAGAAAAAAAAGATTTTATCTTGTTGAAGATGTAGACGATGATGATGAAATTATAATGGACAAAACCGACAAAATCTAAATATAAAAATCTTATTTTGAACAAGGAAAATAAGCTCACATCAAATCACACTTGATTATCACTATGCAAGAATATTTATTTTCAAATGAATTTCTCATCTAATTCACTAATAAAAAAATACTATTTGAGTCTGTTGTCGAGTTGGTATTTTAATGACATGAAGAAGATCGATTTCTTTTCTATTTTGTCCTCATTTGAATACAACACCGATGAAACTTTTTTCTAAAATAATCGAAATGAATACTTTTTTTTTCTCTCATGTTAGCCATCACTGATGCTCTTAATTAATCGACCATGTAGAAGGAAAAAACCAGTTTTACGTGTCTTCTCGAATCCACATGTATTCATATAGAAGATGACGGTCTTGTTAAGAAACGTCATCACCATATTTAATAACAACAATATTCTAAATCTTCCATTGTTTTTCAATGGACACCTTGATTTTGTAAAACTTTCTATTCTTGCACATTGATTCTCAACAAATATAAACTTCTTTATAGATATTGTTTTTATTATAAGAACACAATATATCCTTTTTGTCCTAAAAAATAATTGACTCGAAATGAAAACGAAAATTGTCTTAACGTCATTGCCGTGTGTTCTGTTTTGTTAATCTCAAGATGTTGTTATTGTTGTTGTGCAGTTGACACTTGTACTTTCTTTGATAGTATTCTTGCCTATGATTGAATTTTCTGTGGATCATTTTCAATTTACTCATCAACAAAGAAACACAAAAAGACATAAATTCATAGACTCTTCTTTATTTTTTGTAGTATTAATAAACTCGGTTTCAGAACAAAAGAAGACCAAATTTTTTAGAACTTCATTTATTCAACGAGAACCTTTTTCCTTTGTTCTTCTCATCCAGAAATAGGTCAAATTCTTTCTTAGAGATCTTAATACTGTTAGTGTTTTTCTTCTCTCATCTTTGAACAGAAGCCTATATACATGTACGTGCGTATACATGAAGAAAAAAGATAAGATGAACATGGCACTTGCAGTCATATAGTCAGTATCGTATCGACGTCATTTGTAAGAATCAACTAAGACCATTGAGGACATTCAAACAATTTTTAAAGTTTTTAAGAAAATGACATATTGTAAAAGTAATTTCTAAATATATGCACCAATGTATAAATCTTATCTTTCTAATTTACAGACAATGGATTGGGTTTATAACAAGGAACCTGATCAGTATAGATAATATATCTAATAAATTTATATGGATTATTATTTCGTTCAAAATTATCTGTTATCATAGACAATCACTTTGTTCACTAAAAAGTCTAAGAAATAAAATCAAAAGATTATTTTCAAAATGGCTTAACTTCTAAGGTCGATCATTCTGACCGTCGGAAACGGCATCTTACAAGGCGTGAAACGTCTATAAAACGACGTAATTCCTGCCGTAAACGGCGAAAAATGAGGATCGTTTCGTGTCTGAAACACGTCGTTATCTGGCGTTTACAGTGTATATTACGATTGTATTTCGTTCTCTTCCTGGACTCCTGAAATACAATCATATCTCGTCGTGTCGTGTACGACGAGTTACGATAATCGCGAACGATCGTATACGACGTCGTAATTAAATTTATACTTACCATTTTATTTCTTGTTCAAGTGATCTAAATTAAAAAAACATTTATATTGATAAAATTTAAACCTACCATTTTATTACTTATTGAAATGATCTGAATGAAAAAAGTCATTTATAGTTATTAAACTATTAATTACCGTTCTACTTGTTATTGACAATATTTACCTTGTAAAAAGGGGAACCTATTGAAATCTGAGAAATTTTGAAGAGTTTAAAAGTTTCTTATATGATAGTACAAGATCTTGTGGGAACTTGTACATTCAAATAGTAATTGCTGCAGTTTTGATAAATAAATCAATTTTCTTAGTAGATTTCAGAAAGAAACGATAATCTATGTGCTTTCATCTGTTGTATAACGCGTAAACAAGGGATTTTGATTAAAACACGCAATAAGGTGCAATAACGGCGAAAAACGATAGTCATAACGGCCGCTCTTTCTGGTGGTACATAAACGACCATTGTAAACGGCTATCGTAATATTAGATGTTTTTTATACCGTTTACGGCCGTTCAAGAGTCGTTATATTTGACCTGGGCAGTATATACAGCAGACATCAAAACTATTCAACTAATAGATAATTTCATCTTAGAGAATCATCTGATTTTTGTTAGATTACAGCCTATAGTCTCTAATAGTAAAAGATTTCAGATCAATCCATTGATCTATTTAGTTTGTATGGAAGATACAATTACAACATGTCATTTTTCATTTTTCAAAAAGTATCCAACTACTTATATTTTGCAAACTGTTGCACGGTTGTTCTAGATTGAAAATTTCTTTATAATACATAATTCAATAGAACAACTTCCACTCTACGTAATTCTCATAATATTTACCTAATTTTATTGTTCAATATACCATTACTAAGAGCAGTACAAATTGCATTAGATATTCTATTTGAATAGAAATTTCATGTTGGAAAATTGTTTTACTCATCTCCTATGTATACACTAATCATATGTTCTGGTACATTTGTATTCATGCACTGAAGAAGATAAAAGTTGTTTTAACAATGTGGATCTGTAGAGAATCTTTTTTCCGTACGAAACTCTTATATTTGAGATGAAAACAAATTATATCAATTAAGTTGCATACATTTTGTTACAGTATGAATAGCAGGAGTAAAAAGCTCACCGTAGCCCTATGCAGACGGAGGATGAAATTTGGAACAATGTACCAAATACTCCTACTCTTTATAGCATAAAGAGCTTAAGAAATATAATTGATATCAATTTCAAATATAAGAATTTCGTGTAGAAAAAGAATCCCTACAAATCCACACTGTTAAAACAACATTTTTGATTTTTCCAATACGTAAACAAAATAGTATAAGATCGTCTATCTGCGTATTTTTTTAACTTTTGATACGTATGTCTAGTCAATAACCGACTATAGAAATGCTATGCTTCATACTATACTAATTAGAAACAATCTTTCCTTCCTTCCCACAGACACTAGTCAAAGACTATCATAGACTATACATCAATAATGTTTTGTTATAATACATAACCTACTGTAAGAAAGAAACTATGACCTTATTTTTATGACAGCAAAAAACGAGGAATGTTATAATGTAAATATAAATAGTATTTTTTAACTAATTGATATTTGGTTATGGTTTGGTTACAAGGATAATATCATAATTAATAAATAACATACTTTTGACAATGGCCGAAATATCAAGAATTTCTATTCAATTTTTTATAAAAAAAAAAAGAAACATTATTCATATTTATATTGTAACAATCCTTGTTTTTTGCTGTAATAAAAATGAGGTCACAGTCATAATGATGAAGAAATGTGATCTCAAATATATACAGAATAAAACAATTTCCCTGTAATTAGCAATAGCAACTACATTGTATTTCACATTTTAATCCGACAAGTATTGTACTAAGAATTTTTTAAAAAGTTACTACTAAGCAGTATTGATATCATGATCATATAATTCTCAATATTCACAGTTTAAGATAATTTTAATGAAAAAAATCCCGTTTTCAACATTTATGTAATCAATACATAAATGCAATTATTTTTGTGTTTGATAACAAACAAAGAACTTATTGCTGATTTTTTTCTAATAATTAGGTACTTTAGTTGCGCTGATATGTCAACATTAAATTCATTAAGATTCTATTCTATATAGTGATGTTGATGATGATGATGAACATGAATAAAAAGAAAGAAAAAAAAAAATAAATAGACGAGTACTTTTAAAGAAATAAAAAAAAACAACATTTCACATATATAAGACAAAAAAAAAACAAACGAAGGAGGAAAAAAGAAAAGAAGAAATTTCATTGAATAAAAAAAAAAAAGAAAAAAGAAAACATAAAAGAGGAAATAAAATTACCTAATAAACCAAGAACGAATAAAGGATAGAAACTAGATTGTTTCGTTATTTTTTTTTCTTACGAAGGAAACTCGCGAAGGATATTATTATTATTATACATTATTGCTAATAGAGCAGGACAATACACGAATTGTGACTATAAAGAACAAAATCAAACAAAAAGACATTAAAACAAAAAAAAGAAAACAAAAACAACAACTGTTCGAAGCAATGATGGCAAATAGTGGGTAAGAGTATAAAGTTTTGTTTGTTTGTTTTTTCCTTAAATAAGAATAGCAGCAGCACCAATACACAAATAATAATAATAATAATAAAAGAGGAAATATGATTATATATTTGAAATAAATTTATCGTTGTACAGATATAACACGAAGCATTAATAATTGTCTTTCACCATCTTTGTCACCAATGGCAACTATTGTTCGATTGTGTGCAGCCATATGTATATCAATTGGTGTCATACCAATTGGCATTGTTGATGCTAATTGTCCTGTTTGTAAACGCCATAAACATATATTGTGATCTTTTGAACCAGTTGCAACTAATTGATTTGTTGATATACATGAACAATTAATCTAAAACAAAAATTATGTTTTTTTTTAAGAAATAATTTTTTTTGTTTTTATTACTTCTCGTTTATGTCCAATTAATTTTGCAATAAGTTCTTTTGAATTTGTATCCCAAACTTTTCCTGTACCATCTGCACTTGTCGATACTAAACATGTACGATCAGGTGATAATTTTAAATCTGTTATACGATCACGATGTGCATTTTGTCCACTATCATTTAATGTATGTAAACGTTGACATGTTGGTATATCCCAAAGTACTAATTGTCCTGTTTTTGTACCAGTTAATATTTGTTCATTATTTAAAACAATTGTACATTTTGGATCTGATTCTAATGTTATTGTTGGTGGTTGTACTAATTCTTGTTGTGTTGTTAAATCAAATACAACATAATTTGTTGTTGTTGGTCCTAATGGACAACCAACAATAGCATAACGTTCATCAGGTGTTAATGTTATAAATGAAGGTGTACCACCATAGGATTGATTTGTATCAGATTTAATTTCTTTAGTTAATTCTGAATTATTTAAATCAAGTATACCAACAGATATACCACGTCCATATTTTTGATTACCAGCCATAATAAGATTATTTGAATTATTACTTAATGTAAATGTTGCACATTTTATTTGATGTGTTAATTGAACTGGTTTACCAGTATTAACATCCCAAATCTATAATATAAAGAAAAACAAAATAAAATTTTTTTTTTTTTTTATGAAAATCTATTTTTGAAATGTTTATACATACTTGAAGTACACATGGTTGTGTATCAATACCATCACTTGCTAAACCAACTAAAAGTGTACCACTACATGCTAATGCAACTTTACTACAATTTATACTTGTTCCTTGCATACTTGAAACAAGTTGTCCATTCTAAAGAAAAATATTTTATGGAAATTTTTTTTTGGATTCTTCGAATACTTCTCCATCTTTTTATTCTTTTTATAAAGAATCTCTTTGATCTAATATTAGTTACAAGAATTACTTAAGTACTTTATTATAATGTAATTGAGCAACACGACAGATGAGTTGATTGACAGAATGTTTCATAATTAGATTATCTCTTCTTCTTTTTTTTTTTTTTTTTTTTTTATATCTGATAATTGTTTTATTGGTTTAGGTCATTAAACTCTCTTTCGAGTATGTGGTATACAAGCATTAACTTGAGACTAAAGAGGTTCAATATGAAAAGAATGAGGAAGAGGAATCAGTATTAGAGATTAGAATCCATCGGGCTTGGTTAGCACTTTGAAGTTCTCCAGTTTTTTTTTGTATTCAATGACGAAAACTCGTCATATTCAAAATTAGGTTTTCACGTTATTTTATTTTTTTCAGACTCCGATCATGCATCTTTGAATGCTTATATAAATGATTTTGAATTAATTATTACTTCAAAAAATCAATTTCCTAATCTGTAATCAGAACAGAATAACAAAATATGAAAATGTATAGTAAAATTCTTGATAACAGAAAAAAAAATTTCCGGAACTAACTAACATTCCCCTCCCGCCCGCAGATCTCTATTCTAAATCAACTTGTTAATTCCTTATATTAATACATAAAAATTAAAAATATTTTTCTTACAACAGCATCCCATATTTGTGGTGGTCCTTGACTTTGTCCAACAATAGCATATTTTCCATTTGGTGTCATACTAATTGAATTAATATTACTTAATTCATAATCAGTCTGTAAACCACCATCAGCAAACATTGCATTCATAGAATAACCACCACCACCTGCAGCTTCCCATGAGTCAAATGTATCACGATAACCATCCATAGCAACACCACCACGACCATAACCAAAATCACCAACAGGTGGTGCATGATAATCAGTTTCAATAACATGTTCTAAAAGTCAAATAGAAACAAAATTTAGTATTGTGTCTATATTTTAAAATGAAAAATAGCATGCAATTAAATAGAAAAAAAAAAAACGTTACAAAACAACAATCATATTCATGCATATTCCTACGTTGAGAATAAGCTGATGATGATTGTTGATGATGTCCATCACGTGCAAAATCACCATAACGTGATGACATTGTTGGATAGTTAGAAAAAACACCACCAGTAGTATCCATACCGCCATATTCTCTAACAATTTCTGTAATGTGACAAACATTACTTTTAGTTTTATTGTATTACAATTGAAATTTTTGAATTTTTTTTTTTTTTTATTTTTATTTTTGAATAACTTACCACGTGTTTGTTCAATACGTGTTGTTTCTGTTCCACCTGATGATGCAGCTGCAGCTCCAGATGTTGCAGCTAAATTATCACCACGTTGATCAACTAATTGAAGATCACGTGTTCCACGACTATCAGGACCTGCATAAAGTGCTAAACAAAGAACAAAATTATCATTAAAAATTTCCTTAAAATTAAAACATTACCATTTTCAGTTTGTGTTACACCTGATGTACCTGTTAATACTGGTACATAACCAGCTCGAGCACCACCTGGTAAACATGCACCTTGTGTACATTTACGTGCAGCAAATGCAAGTGCAAGTGGAATTAATAATAAACCAGAAACAATAGCTAATATCCAACCAATTGGACCAGCACGACCACCTAATACACGACCATAATCAATTAATTGACCTTTCTTTGCACCAATAACAGCACCGGGTTGAGCTATTACTGGTAAACGAACAGTTGTTACTGCTGCAACGATAGGCACTACTGGAGCTGTTGAAACTAATATTCAAAGGAGAAATTAATGTTTTTTTTTTTTATTCATTAAAAAAATTTCTTTTTTTTATCTCATACTTGGCGTGTCACAATAATATCCTGTATAACCTTCTGCACATGAACAACGACCTTCATAACATGTTCCATGATAACAATTAATACCAGTACAAAGATCAGCTAAAATTTAAAAAAGAAATAGTCTTGTTTTTATTTTTTGAATATAAAAATTCTTACGTGGTGTATCACATCGTGGTCCTGTATAACTTGAATGACATTCACAAATTCCTTCACGACAATATCCATAAACACAATGAACATTATCACATGGATTTGGTCGATGAACTAAATAAATTTGAAATTTTTATTTTAGTTTTTTTCAAAATCAGTATGATTTTTTTTTTCTTACCTTCTCGACAATCATCACCATAATATGGTGGTGAACAAATACAACGTCGACTATTGCCTTCTGGAATACATTGTCCACTATTCACACATGGATACATCGTACATATATCCTCTTTAAAAAAAAAAAAAGGAAACAAACATAAGGTTTTTTTTTTCTTCTTTGAAAAAATTCATGTAAATACAACCTTGACAATGACTTCCTACACGTCCAATTGGACAAATACATCGAGCTACGCCTCGATCATTCGTACAAGTACCACCAGAGCAATCGTACCGTAAACATGGATCAACTATAATAGCAAAAAAAAAAAAACGCCGAAATAAAAACATAGTTAATATGAAGGTTAACATATCAAAAGGTTTTCAATTAGAACAACCCGTTAAATAAATACAAGCCAAATTGTCATGCAATAAATAGAGAAAAAAAAAACATCAAAGCCGAAAAAAACAAAGAAAACTTTCATTTTGTTAAATAATAATAATAATAATAATAAACAATACATTCTTATGTATTGTAATTATTATATTTGATAAATATTAATGCATTGTATAAATTAAAAACAAGAAACATTATATAAAGAAGAAGCTCATTCTTTTTACTGCCATCATAGAGCTGCTCATCAACTGTCTACTCACTATGGACTTCAACTCTTATTTCTTCCAAACACATGACACCTGTATACTCCGGTAAACAAACACAATAGGCTGTGCCATCGTTTGGATTAACAGAACATTGTCCATAATTACAATTGACATTGTCACAAACGTCTGCGTAAAATAATGAATGTGATCAAGAAAACAACAATAAATAAATAAATATATAAATAAATGAATAAAATAAATAAACTGTGTTTTAAGATAACATGCATTTTTTTTGTTTCAAAAAAAAAAAAAGAAAAAGATTCTTTCTAATCTTTTGTGTTTGCGCTTATATTGTCTGTGATAAAATTACACAGCAGACACATCATCAAAAAAACGTTCGGTTAAGCATACATATATACACATACCATCAGATTCATAACAATTCGGTCCTCGATAACCCTGTGTACATCGACACATAGGTTGATTATCCTGTTGAATATGACATACACCTCCATTGTAACAAACAAAATTTGAGCATGGATCTATTTGTCGATCACATGCTGTACCTTCATAACCTCGATGACATTCACATCTATAAGATGTGCCTTCATTGATACAAGTACCATGATTGCATGAAACACGAGCACATGCATCTTTATAGATAGATAAAGAAAAAAAATAAAAATATTATAGCTAAATCTCATTCTTAGATTTTGTTGTTGTTTTTTTTTAAAGCTATGAACTATTAATAAACTATAGCCGGACAATATAGGAAACAAAATAAAGAAGAATATTAACGGAAATTTTGTATGAAAATTTTTCTTACCGGCTGATGTAAGACAATCATGTCCTGTATAACCTTGAAAACATCGACAAACAGCAACGTTACGATCGATTTCACATCGTCCATGATTACAATTAACTCTTGCACAGGGGTCTAAAGAAAATAAATAAGTATTAGATTTAATCAGAATGATTTTATCAAAAGAATTTCAATCAAAGATGATTAAAAAAATAATCATTCTTCATATTTGAAGTTCATCAAGATAAATTATAATTTCATCTTGAAAATTCATATTCCGATTTTTTTTTTCTTCATACACATTTATATATAAAATCAATAATCACACATCTATTCCATTATGCAAATTGAAGTATAGTGACCAATTCAATTAGAAAGAGAAGGAGAGAAAGAGAGAGTGCAAAGCAACTAGACATTTAACCACCATATGAACATACGTGCATGTATGCTACTCATATGTATGTGTAAGCGCTCTTTTTACTTCTCTTTCGGTATGCATATGTTCATGTTCAATCATGAAAAAGAAAAAAATTTGCATAATGTACCTATAGTCTTTTCTAAATATCTATGCACATAATATGATGTAAAACGATTGAAGACAATGACTATTTATCACCTTGAATATAATACTGAATGTACTATCTAAGAAGAACGAGTGATGATCGTTGCAAACATAGATAAACAATTCTTCTTCTTCTTCTTCTTTTTTTTTCATCTGGATGATGATGATGATAATAATAATAATAATATGAACAGAAATAGCATTATCATCAAGTAAAGTATTATGCAAGACTTGCACAACATCATCCTATTTTGGTATTGATCATACTCGTTTCCTTAATTCACTCATGTATGTAAGCATAACTAGCCAATGAAATATCCAATAGACAATTATAAATTCTTTACAGTTCACATGAAAAAAAAACGTGTATGTGTCTGCTGCCTTGTTGACATTCCATCATAAAGATCGATCCTATTACAAACTACTAGTCTATACTATCATTTATTAATCTAATTATTATTATTATTGTTGTTATGTTTTTTGAAATTCTTTCTTTTGCTGCCGGCGACATATTTGTGTAATATAAGAAAGAATAAAAAAAAAAAAGAAGAGGATAGAATTAGATTGACCGCAACTTTTACAA